GGTCACAAGCTGGCAGAGGGTAGATTCAGACTAGACATCAGGAGGCGCTACTTCACGGTTAGGGCAGCTAGGATCTGGAATGAACTTCCAAGAGAAGTGGTGCTGGCTCCTACCCTGGGGGTGTTTAAGAGGAGGCTAGATGAACACCTTGCTGGGGTCATTTGACCCCAATACTCTTTCCTGCCATGGCAGGGAGTCGTACTCAATGATCTGCTCAGGTCCCTTCTGACCCTAGAAAGTATGAAACTATGAAATATTTTGCTTGAAAGATAGGTTTAGGACTTGACTCCCATCATCATTGCTCCCTGAACCATAAAGTAAAATGCTAGGTTATTGTTGCTTTGGCAATCACATTGTAACCACCAACCACCCAGGAGCTCATCTCAAAGTGAGATAAAATTATGTGGTTCTCAAGCCACGTAAGAACTAAAGACATCATATGGGAAGTGCTGAATGAGCAATCAGAAGGGCAGTTCTTCCAATAAACTTCAAAAAGGACATTTGTAATGAAGGGATACTAACCACTGCCATCCACAACTGCACTAAAACATCCTATTAGGATTTTGTCCACACACTCGCCTGACCCACACATACTCTGCAGGTTTTGGACAGCAAACCACTACTTAAGTACAATACACACTTCCAAAAGCAATAAAATCTCCCATTCACGTATAGGGCTGCAACGGACTCTCTCCTAGTTTGTTTAGATGATTACTAACTTTCTTTTACTAGGTGTCACACGAGTGATGAATCCAGGCATTTTTACCAGAAATGGACAAGTAGTGCAAGCTCAGTAGATCAAATCTATGCAATTCTAGGATTTGCCAGAAGATGACACTCCAAGACCATTGTAACCATATCACTTCTTCACATTCACAAAACATACCAAACATACCAGTGTAGACATTTACACTGAGCTTCAAAAAGCAAACACAAAACGTCAGCATAAATAAAATCTAGCTCATCCAATTTAAAGCCACATAAGATTCTCTGCATATTTGCACACAATATATGAAATCATTTGGTCCTTCCTGGCACATTAGCAGGTACTTACACTAAAATACTCAAAAGTCTGACCTTGCACATATGAAATGCTTCTATTCCTGAAGAGCTGGAAACAATTTAAGTCAAATAAGCCACCTACACCAGAAGATATTCAACTCCATGTGTCACTGGGCACATCTACACGTGTGCTTTAATGCTCATTAAAATAGGCTATTGCGCATTATAGTGTCACTTAAAAACCACACTATGTAACATGCATTAAAATAGGCTAACGTGCATTAAGCATCACTTAAAAACAAACAACTGGGTGCCTGTACACAAGTGCGGAAACTACCCTAACACATTAATTACAACACACTGGATGCTGATACATGAGATGCTGCAGCACTTTAAATAGAGCAACTCTCGGAGTCATTCTAATTAAAGCACCACCCTCGCCCCCCGAAGCATGTGTAAAAGTGCCCCATGCTCTTTAGTTGAGATTGGAAAATGCACATTAGCTTGTAGATGCACCCTGCATTGTGAGGTACATGTGCATTAATGCACTTTAGTTAATTCAAATTGAATCTAGTACCTCCAGGCACTTTTTACACATGCTCCAGGGGTGGGAAGAGGTGGTGCTTTAATTAGAGAGACTCTGAGACCTGCTTTAGTTCAAGCACCTGCACCACCATTTTGAAGCGCAGGGACACCGATACATGAGACAGGAGGCTGGTGGAGTGTGATAACTACCATGCTCCAGATGACTCAATCAAATCTGCAGACTTGATTAATCTGCAGTCTATTACAGTGCACTGGAGCAGCCTCCATGCTTTTGTACAGGTGCTAGGAAAATGGCTTAAAGCGCATTAACAAAAAGCCATGCTTTTAACATGATGCTTAATGTGCACTGGCTTAGTTTAATGTGCATTAAGTAAAAAGCACATCTTAAAGTGACACTTTAATATGCATTAAAGTAGGGTAATGTGCATTAAAGTGCATGTGTCAATACATCCAGAGGTATTAGATTTAATGCACATAAAATTAAAGTATGTTAATGCACATGTAGGTGTGTCCACTGTGTCACAGTGCAACTTGCTCAGTTTGCATAATTTACAGATATAGTAGAGAGGCCCAGATACAGACACACTGGAGACAGGTGAGCTTTGGGATGAAAAATTAGCCCGGGGCAGGCAATTTTTATTTCGGGCAGAGGGCTGCTTACCCAGTTTTGGCAAGCTATTGAGGATCGCATGGGTAGTCCCCACCCCTTGACAGGTGCCCTGACCCCTGGTCACCATCTTGAGACCAATGTCCTACTGTCTTGGGATCAATGTGCCAGGGCCAGTGCCAGCGGGGCCCAGAGTGGGGCAGAGGCTAGCAGGGGTCTGTGGAGTTGGGCTGAGATGCACCAGCAGGGAGAGAGGGAAGCTGGCCTGCTTCCACAGAGCCCCTGCTGGCCAGGACCCTGTACTCCTGCTGCCCTGCTCTGGGCCCGTTGACGCTGGCCCCAGTACACCACTGTGGGCCCATGCTCCCGCTGGCTCCCATGCCCACTCACTCTCAGTGCCCCCCTCAGACCTGTGGTACAGGTGGGGGGAAAATGCACAGCCCCAACCCCACACTTGTCAGCAGGGAACAAGCTGGTGCTGAGCGCAGGGGAGAAGCGTCCCCTCCCCTGCCCCGTGCCTGGTGCTCCCTGCTGCAGCCACTCTCAGCCTGTGCAGGGCTGTCCTGAGCAGGCACAGGCAGTAGGAGCCGTTTTTTCCCCCTGTGGTCTGCACCAGCTTGTAACCCACCCCCAATGCCAGCCTGGGCCCCGCACCGGCTCCAGGCTTGCCTGTTGGAGCTGTGCTGCAGCAGCAGCAGCTGCCACCTCCTTGCTTGCTGTGCCCAGCAGTGTTTGCTGCTGCTGCCCGCCCAGAGCTCGCACTGCGGTAGGCTACAGTGCAGCTGCCACCACCACCTCTGTGCTGCCCACCATAGCAGCATCAGGCAGGCAGCAACAGCAAACACTGCCCAGCACGGCAAGCGGGGAGGCCACAGCTGCTCCTGCCATGGCGCAGACCCAACGGGAGAGTCCGGAGCCAGCACTGGGCCCAGGCTGGCAGTGGGGGCGGGTTACATGCTGGTGCTGAGTGTGGGAAAAAGCGGCCCCTTTCCTACCTCACGGCCAGCGGCCCCACACTGCAGCCACTCGCTGCCCACACAGGGCTGCTTGTGCGTGCTCAGGACAGTCCCACGCAGCTGTGAGCAGCTGCAGCCAGGAGCGCCGGCCACGGGGCAGGGGAGGGGATGCTTTTCCCCCATGCTCAGCACCAGCTCATTCCCTGCCCACAGTCCTCCCCTGCCCTTCCCCACCCCCTTTTACCTGAGTTTCCCATGCCAGTGTAGCCACAAGAAGCCACATGGTTCCAGGCCATCCAGCTGGTGGGGCAGGGCCAGGCAGGCCCTGCTGTTGCAGGAGCCTGCCACAGCTTCCTCTGGGTCCTACTGCCCCTGGCTCTTGTCATCTCTGACAGGATCCAAAGGACAGATAAATATTAATTTTCTCAAGTTTTTAATGGCCCTGCAGGCCAAATAAAATGGCCTAGCAGGCCAGATTTAGCCCACCTCTGAATTAGCCACTGGCAGCCCAACAGTATAAGAATAATATCTTTTCAGGAACTACATTAAAAAACTTTACATACCAGTTGAAGTCTCCAATGATACTGATGGTCTGGTCTGCATCAGAAGCCCAAGTAATAGGTCGCTGAACCACCACTTGGCGAAGTGTGTAGATGTGATCCCCAGGGTCAGAAGTGTTGACAAAATACTCAAATACTCCAGTCTGGTCTGCAAAATTCGGAGCTTCACTAAAAGCTGGGTTACCTATTTGGGGGGAAAAAAAAAAAAAAAAAAAACACAAAAACCCAAACCATTTAACTTGCATAACTGAAACATTCAGTTTCCTTTTATTTCTGCCTGCACCGTATTTTCATCAGTTCTCCTCCAAAGATTCATCTGGATGACTTATTGGAGAGCATGCATGCTCAAGAATTAGTATCACTAAAGAATTAAAATCTGGTTTCATATCAGGTGTTTAAGTATGTAACTACAAGGTCATGCTAGAAGGATGAATTTGAGTATAAATGATTCACAGGTGAAAAAGTTATGAGCCAAAAATCTCTGACCTTGTACTTCAATTTAAAAAAAAAGTTACACTTATAAAACAGCCCCTACTAGGAGCAGGAGCTTGACCTCCCTCGACTTAGACATACAAATCAAGTATTTAAAAACAGTGGTCTCCAACCTTTTTAAATACAAGATCACTTCTTGAATTCAAGTGCAACCCAGGATCTACCACGTGCAACTCCCCACAGACCAGGTCAGTCTGTGCAGGAGGGAGGGGGCAGGGTGAGGGAGGGAGTGGGGCAGAAGGCAGGGCAGGGGTGAGTGGGGCCCCAGCCAGGTTGGGTTGTGGGAAGATCAGAGCCTGAGCATCTTGTTCAGGCTCACCCGAGGGCTCCAGCCGCTGTATGTACCCTGACGGAGGCCCAGGTGGCCACATCCCGCCCCCCCCCCAATCTTTGCACTGCATCTGCCCTGGGAGCAGCTACAGCCAGGTTCAGGACACAAAACCCACTGCATAGCAGCAGCTGCCTCCACTGCACACAGATTGGGGGGGAGGGGGCACATGCCCCCTGAGCCTCAATTAGGGTGTGTGCAGCAGCGGGAGCCCCCCCCCACCGCACACCTAGATAAGATGCCCAGGCTCCGATCCTGCAACCATCCAGCCTGGCTGAAGCCCCACTCACTTGGCAGCAGGGGGCACAGCAGGGCATGGAGGGGGATTGTTCCACTCACCTGGCCCAGCCCTAGTGGCAAGAGGTGTGGCTTAGTTCAGTGGTGGGATGCACGCAGCATCATGCTGCTCCAGAAGCAGCTGCAGCTCTGTATCACAGTCTGAGGGGGCTGAGCGTTAGTGTTCATTCAGCACCCCCAGACTGAGATAGACTGTCAGAAGGCTTCATAATCAACTAGTCAATCATGATAGACTGGTTGGTGACCACTGATTTAAAGCATCATTTTAAAACATAGCAGACATAGTAGATATCATAGGAAAACATACCAGACAGTAAACGTCTGGTACCCGATAGCAGTACTCAAACCACGCTGCATTGCTCCAATCACTTAGAAGTAGTGTAACAGTGTCCACACATGACTATGGATGGGCTAACTAACAACAATGAATGGAACTGAAAAATTAGCTCACCCCATGCTAATTAGGAATCAGAATGACACTGTATGTCTTCTGGTGTAAGAGACAGTTTGCATGGAGCAACATGACATGCAAAAAGCATGGTAAAAATCTTGTGCAAGAATGCTATTAAAACTGCATTTTACTACTTTGAGTAACTGAAGGGGGTAGCACTATCTGAAAAAGTGTAAGCTTTGGACTTTTTCACTATCAGTACTTCACATTCTGGGCAGTGACACCAGAAGTAACCGAAGCATGAGAACCTCATTCCTGATTCAAGAGTGGCAGGAAAGTGTTAAATGTATGTTTGTACAAAATAAATTAACTACAATTTGGCAACCAATCATTAGTCACAAGGTAGTATCTTCAACACTACACCTGTTATTACCCATCTTATTAACCCATTGACCTATTACTGGTCTTATTATTACCCATTGCCTGGCTGTGAGGTACCTCTCCCTCTTCCAAGACCCAAATCGGGAGGAAAAAACCCTAAAAATAGGGCCGATTACTTGTGCAGGATATACAATATGCTAGAAGACGCTTCTGCTTATTTTGAATAGTTCTTTGTATGATTTCAGTTTCATAAGTCTTCATTTCCAAGGTAAAACATTTTCCCAAAGTAGCAAAGGTACACTAAAATTTATGATATGCAGCCAACAGGCAAAAAGAGGCAACTAACTGGGCCTTAGAGACCTGTTGGTCATAGGAGTGTTAGTCTTTATTGCACCTGGTGTAAATGTACACTTGAAGTTTAACAGACTTAAAGAAATGCTGGAATTTATATTCCTGGCACATTATATCAGTACATGTGATAGACTTAACATCTATTACCTCACATGATTCATTTCCTGTTGAGATGATCAGTAGAACCAATGAGACAGAGAGACAGTGTACTACATCTGTATTTGGTAGCCTCTCAGTCAAATTAAGAAGCACAAGTCACCATTTCAAAGCTAAACAGCAGCATAATTTATCACTTATGAGTAGAGGTGTGTGCAAAGACAAATATAGCATAAAGTTCTGTTTGCTTAATTACTCAGTGTTAATGCATTAGAACCTACAGGTCCACCACTGTCTACAGACAAGCAGAGGCTAGGCTACAAATTTTAAAGACACATCATTCAGACCGTAGAGAAAACTACCTATATTAACAATTTGTCCTTTTGGGCAACTTAACTCCTCTACTCACAAAGATGGCAGCCCAGACCTCAAGGTATTAGAGCTAACTTACGGATATTGAAATCATCCTTGTAATTTGAAGGAAAAGGCTGTGATGGGGGAGGTTCCTTGTACATACACTTCTGGCCTGTCTTGAGGGTGGTTAAAGTATAGACTTCATCCACATCCAGATTTAAAGTAAATGTTCCTTCAAAAACCTGAAATGAAAAAGGTACAATTAGAGAATCACAATCCTGCAGGATTCTCTTAAATGTCCAAGTTAAATACAAAAATCATGCCATCTTGCCTCAGTGTCTGATAGTTCTGCAAGATTACCAAGATGCTTAGGGGGGAGGGGGAAGGGAGTGGGGTTCTTCCCCCATCACCTGAACCACAACCAAAAAGTGCTATACTACAGCATCCTGCAGACTATTTGAAAGAAATATGCACAGCCTGAATTGTCCATTCAGGGTGGGAAAGACATTGGAATTGCAATGAAGAGCAAAAGCAGTACCTGGCAGCATAGAGATCTATCTGGAAACACTTGTTACAGCAGGGTTTAAGCAAGCTCACACACCCTGTGGAACTTTCCTTCTGAGAAGCTGTATTTCTCAGGGCCATCAAGCACCCAGTTTGAAGAATTTCTTGCACAGTCACAATCCCATTATTTTGATTGTAACAGATTTACTAGTAACAGGGGGTTTCCCCAGCACACTACTAATTCTAAATGTGTTAAAAGCCCATGCAGGTTTCAAAAGCCAGTAATTTTGGCAAAGAGTAGAGGTTGGGAAGTTAAGTGGATTATCTCCTGGCCAGAGAAAGGAGGCCTTGATCCTGCAAATCCCTAGTCAGCTAGGAATGCAAAATTGTTGCTGTCCCAGGAACAAAGGCAGTTTTAAGCAAGGTTAGTGGTAAAAGACTGAGGTTGACTGTACACCCATTCCTCATGCTTCAAGGATACATGGCAAGAAAAACAAAGGTATCTAGTAGGACACTGTCATGCTAATAAGTTATTTACTTCCCTACTCAGGCCTTCTTCCTACTAATAGGAAAAGTGAGTGACATGGTAGTCGAGCAACATACTCTCAGTAGCAGAAACATCACCAGTCCTTCCTACTCTTACTTAGCACTTCCCTGTAGTGAAAAGCTAGCTGTACTGTGCGTGGCCATGTCCATACGCCAAGTTTTGTTTATGTGCATGAAGTTAAGCCCTGGGTAGCCACACTTCATACCTTGTACTTAAAGGTAACAATGCACATCTAGGCTACAAAGAACATTTGCTAGTGGCTCAAGCAAAACAAAAACATCAAGCAAACTGAGTCTTAAAAAGATCTTCATTTACAAACCAAATCTCTCTTCTAATCCCTGATAGTTATCTGGCACTAATAAGAAAAAGCAAAAGGTTCTTACACAGAACTAATACTGATCAAGCAGCAATTAACCCACCTCTATAGGACTGAGTGGCTGGAATAGGGTGGAATTTGCAGATCCAAAATCAAGCTTCGAATACCATACTTGAAGTGCCTTTACTTTATGCTGGGAAGAAACAAATGAAAATTGTAAGAAGATTTTTCTTAGGAAATGCTGAGGTTTTAAAGTTTTGTTGCTCCAGTGAAAGATGCTGGACCAAAAGCCCAAAAAAATAATCTTCTGCTGCTCAACAAAAAAAGGTACAGTTTAACACAGAGATTCTCATGCAGCACCCCAAGATGGACTTATAACACACCCTGGAAAATGCCAGCTTTTCATTCTCAGTCCGACTACAGACAAGTAAGTTCTCTGCAAAAGAAAACCTACAATTCTGTTGCAAAGAGCTCAGAAAGACCATAACTATGCATTTGTTTAATTAGCGTTTTATCCAGTAAATCCTAATAGCATTAATAAGGCATAGCATCCTATGGCACCTTTGACAGGATTTCAAACCACTACAAGGTGCCATGGCACCCTGGGGAGAATCACTGGGCTAGCCAGTGCAGCTCACACCTCCCTCTTGTTAGTGGATCTTTGCCCCATGTCAGAAAAGCCTTTCTAAAGACTGGAATTCCTTCCAAGTCTACCATTAAATTCTTGGTTTCCATTTCATGGATGACAATGCACTGGTGCCAAGCATGAAAGCAGTTCCTACACCTGACGGCAGCAGGGTTAAGACCACTACATGCATTTCACTGAATCATTTGGACAGCAGAAAAGTGGCAGGATTTGGTCACATTAGAATGATTAAGAGTCATTTACTATAAAAAAAAATGGAAATGAATGGTTTTGAACTGGCTCAAATTCTGTCAACCATGTGGCAGATTAACTATTCTGTAATAAAGACCACAAGCCTTCAACAAGTCTTTTAATTAAAAATTACAGCGAATTCACAGAAAAAAACAGTTACCTTATGGTTTGCCAAGCAACCTATATATGGTTAAAAGTAATGACCTGGCACATGCCCCAAGCAGAGCTGGGTTCCAGGAATAATGCAGAAGTACTATCTAAAGTCTGTCATTTAATTATTACAGTTACGAGTAAAGGCGTTAAAAACCAAACCTATTAATACAACAGCCTGCTCAGCTGTGAAGGGGTCAGAAGAACCAGCCCTACTAGAAATTAAAACCAAGTGTTTATAAACTGTCCTGGATACTGTGGGTGTTGGTGGAGGCTACTGCTGTACTGCTCATGTTTCACTCGAAAAGAGCCAACTCCACAGACACTCTTGAGAAAAGAGGTAGAGTATTTTCTCCATCAGGAAGAGCTATTTGAACTCAAACACAGACTTCTACTCTTCAGAAAAATAGCAGCTATAGGTAGCAACTAGCTGGGGGAGTGGGAAGGGGTAAGTTAGGTCTACCTTGTACAGATAACCTGACAAACTAGCACTCAGAAGTGAGAGCCAATATTAGCTTAGCACAGAAACAAAAATCTCTACAACAAAGCTCTACTCATGTTATTTGCCCATGAATGTGCAACTGAAACATATGCCATAGTTCTTTTTGCCCAGATGCTCTAGAATTTTTCCCAACCAACTATATCCATTACAAGACCCCCATGTCTGCCCTTTAGCAATAACCATGTAACAGGCACTGAAGGACCACCAGCATCCAAAAAAGTTTGCTTGCCTCCTCACTATAAGGGTGAACAGCTTCCAAAAGAGTTAAAGCTGTAGCACAGGTTGTCACCCACCTCTCAGCTTGGCAAGTTAGCAAGTCCAAACCTGGGCAGATTTGTAAGGACAGTAGAAGTGCTATAGTTTAAAACTGGATGGGAGACTGGATTAGATGAACAGCGTGGACAAGAGTTTCACAGAGAAGAGGATCCATTTAATGTGTGGTTAACAGATGTGTTAAGTGCATATTAAATCAGTCCCACAGGAAAGGGAAAGTCGAACAAATACCTAGATCAAATGCAGGAAAATGGTTTTCAGTCGCACACCACTTAAGTTACTATCACAAAAAAAATTAAGAACAAACAGAATCCAACTTGCTGTTGGTAGGTGCTTCTAATATGTAATAAAAATGGTCATCTTTCAGTACCAATATGTAGGGCCTTTGTCACTTAAGTAAAAAAAGGTACCTCAACGACAGCAGTAGTTGCTACATAAGCAAATCACTAGAACCCACCATCCACATATACAAAGGACTATTCTATTTTTGTCATCCTTCTATAAGCACTTGGAGTACATACAGTTAATTATACATGGCAGCAACCTGAGTGCAAATCAAGAGTCAGTATGTCAATATGCTACTACTGAAAGTATTTACTTACAAAGGATCCTTTGAGGTAGAAAGTTGCTATCTGAGATGACACACTGAAAGGAAGTAGTCGGGGTCTGATACATTCAGAGTGGTTATGAGTCTGGAAGTAAAATGAATCACAACAAATCAAAAGCCAGCACTAAAATTGATCGTTTGCCAACTCCGACGAAAACCTTAAACTATCTGCCAAAAGGAAAAAACAATATGAGTGCAACATGGGATCAGTTACCAAAGCCTATTTGTTTCAAAGTTCAGTGCTCTTCTGGAACTAATATTATTGCTGGCCAATTTCTTTATTTGGTACACTGTTTAAAATGGCAAAAACGAAGGGGGGAATCATTAGTTGAAAAAGTTTTCCACTGCACTATGTATTAAAATATAAGTTAGCCCACACTTGTAAGTGCAATATCTAGATAACTACCTTATTCAAGGCAAACAAGAGAGCTTCTATCTGCTAGTATCATAACATTTTGCAAATACAGAATTTCCTGCATTGTAATTTTCCCAAAATAAAACACTCACTAGAGCATAATTACTTTGTTAGAGTTACTTGAGAACATTACCATAGTTTCAATGATGATAGTAAGATTGCCTAGGCCATCGGTCAGAGCTACATAGCTGCCACCTTTTTTTAAGTGTCCATCCGCCTGCAGATAGGTCCAGCCTGGTTGGGTGAACTGGGTTGTATGTGCTGTGTGACAGTGGAAAGAAAGCATTAAAACTTAACCCCAGGTTCCATTTTGTAGTCTCCAATCCACAATATGCTTTACTTTTAAGACGGTAGGCATTACTGATTTTTCCCCTAGTAACTGAACATTTTGCTACAAAGAAAAATTATTTGGTCTGTGGGGACTAGCAGAAGATCTAGGTCAGGGTACTTCTAGGATCTATCACTATGGGAAAGGGACAGGCTATGTAGGCCACCTGCTCCGGTGACCACTTCTGCAGGAACATGAAAGGATTATGGGTAGGTCAGAGTGGCCACTGGCTAAATACTTACATATGTTGTATGCATGTAAAATGATATGTATTATACACAGACAAGATTCTATGATTGCAAAAGAAACAAGCACCACAAATTAAAAAACGGAAGAAAAACTATATCCTTTTGGAAATAAACATAAGAAGAAATAAAATCCAAGTCCAAAGACTCAGCTATTAAAAGGAGATCCTGGATCAAAGTACTCTGTGTTTAGAAAAAAAAAGTATTGCTTTTCCCAGGCAGCTGTAACTGCTTCTGCCACAAAAGCTATAGCAATAGCCAAAAAGACATACTATGGTTTAATTTATTCACAAATGTATAATAGATCAAAAAGGCTATGTACCTTTATTTCTCTGCTCTAACTAGTTAAAGGACTAATAGTCTTCCCAGTGCCAAGACAATTGATTTCATAGACATAAGGGCTGGAAGGGACCTCAGAAGATCATCGAGTCCAGCCCCCTGCACCAGGAGCAGGAAATCAGCAGGGATCATAGGATCCCATCAAGATAAACATCCAGATGTCTTTTGAAGGCATTCAGAGTAGGTGCTTGAACCACCTCAGGCGGCAGTCTATTCCAAACCTTGGGGGCTCGGATAGTAAAGAAGTTCTTCCTTATGTCCAGCCTGAAACAGTCATGGAGGAGTTTGTGACCGTTCGACCTTGTCATCCCTTGGGGAGCTCTGGTGAACAGACATTCCCCCAGATCCTGGTAAACGCCCCTGATAAACTTATAGGTGGCCATCAGATCACCCATGAGCCTGTACTTTTCCAGCCTGAAGAATCTCATGGCTCTCAGCCTCTCTTCATAAGGTCTGCTTTCCTGACCTGTGACCACACACATGGCTCTCCTCTGTACCCTCTCAAGCTTCTCCACATCCTTTTTGAATTATGGAGCCCAAAACTGGACACAGTACTCCAGCTGTGGCCTCACCAAGGCCAAATACAATGGGAGGAATACGTCCTGGATTTACTTGAGAAGGATCTGTGGATACAAGCAAGCATTTTGCTTGCTTTACTAGCCGTAGCATCATATTGAAGGCTCATGTTCATCTTGTGGTCAGTCATGACCCCAAGTCCCTTTCATCCGTAGTGCTAGCCAGAGTAGCACTGTCAAGCCTAGAAGGATGCTACAGGTTTTTCTTCCCAAGGTGGAGAACCTTGCATTTTTCGTTGTTAAACACCGTCAGGTTCTCTTCCGCCCATTTCCTGAGGCTATCAAGGTCAGCCTGGATCACCCTCCTGTCTTCTGGCGTGGATGCTTTACCCCAGGGTCTGGTGTTATTGGCAAAACTTGGCCAGACCATAGTTTCATAGTTTCTAGGGTCGGAAGGGACCTGAGCAGATCATCTAGTCTGACCCCCTGCCATGGCAGGAAAGAGTACTGGGGTCAAACGACCCCAGTAAGGTGGTCATCCAACCTCCTCTTAAAAACCCCCAGGGTGGGAGCCTGCACCACCTCACTTGGAAGCTGGTTCCAGACCCTAGCCGCCCTGACCGTGAAGTAGCCCCTCCTGACGTCCAACTTAAACCTTCCCTCCGCCAGCTTGTGACCATTGTTCCTGGTCACTCCTTGCGGCGCTCGGGGGAACAGGGACTCCCC